CCCCCCCCCAGGATGAACTTGCGTCCTTTCTCTTCTCCGCCATGGAATTCTCCTTGCTTTTAGCCCTCCAGAGCCAAAGAAACCCCAGACAACAGATGCTCATACGCAGCGTATAGCAGTAACTCCCCAGCTCGGTTTCTGTGCCGTAGTTTACAGTATTTAATTTTATATAATATATATTATTTATTATAGCATTTTTGATACCTCATATTCTGTTTACACATCTTGAAAGCCGCTCAGTAATTCTCTTACAATTAATAAAAACCACTAGTCTAGAGAATGGCATTTACCGGGGCAACGCTGACTACCAGTACTATTGCTGCTACTGCTGCTTCTGGTCCATTGATGGACTACCTATGGATGCTGATCCTGGGCTTCATTATTGCATTTGTCTTGGCATTCTCCGTGGGAGCCAATGATGTAGCAAATTCGTTTGGTACAGCTGTGGGCTCAGGTGTAGTGACCCTCAAGCAAGCCTGCATCCTAGCTAGTATTTTTGAAACCGTGGGCTCCGTCCTTCTGGGAGCCAAAGTGAGCGAAACAATCAGGAAGGGCTTGATCGACGTGGAGATGTACAACTCGACCCAACAGCTGTTGATGGCCGGCTCTGTCAGTGCTATGTTTGGTAAGTTCTTTTTATGTATTCCCCCTTGGTGGCGGGTGAGCAAGCGGGTGGTTCCATATTTGGGCTCTCCCTTTCAGGTTTTCTTCTTCGGAAGGCACTGCATTCCTGAGAATTTTGCCATTTAATAAAACTTGCCTGTGTTTCAGGTTCTGCTGTGTGGCAACTAGTGGCTTCGTTTTTGAAGCTTCCCATTTCTGGAACCCATTGTATTGTTGGTGCAACCATTGGTTTCTCCCTTGTGGCAAAGGGGCAGGAGGGTGTCAAGTGGTCTGAACTGATAAAAATTGGTATGTTTAATTTTAAATGGCTTTTTAATTTTTATTCTTGTCATGTGCTACCATGGCATTATATGAAATAAATGGTGTAAAATGGAGGGATGGAAAGTTTTGAAGATGGAATACTAAAATTTAAAGTTTTTTTGGTTCCTGATTTTCATTAGTTGACATTTTTCTTTTTAATGTGTTCTGTTCCAGTGATGTCTTGGTTCATCTCTCCACTGCTTTCTGGTATTATGTCTGGAATTTTATTCTTCCTTGTTCGTGCATTCATCCTCCGTAAGGTAATCTTTCTCTCCCCTCTTTTATGACCTTTGGTGGGTCACACTCAATGGTATTCAGACTGCTAGCCTTCTTGTAGATGTGATTAGTGTGGCCTTGGAAAGTTAAAAAAAATACGTCTGTGTTCGGTACACCTCTTGTATGTTGCTGCGCTCTCTGAAAAAGTCAAGTTTTCGATAGCCCAGAATGCATTCAGGAAGGAAAAATTGAATGAATATATGGTGTGCCAAGAAATAGAGGAGAAGCTGGGAATGAAAAAATAAGGAAATTTATTCAGGGTGATTTTGTATAGGTGTTTGTAGATTACTGTTTTCTCTAAATCAACATATATGGACCATTTTGACTTATTTTTTTTTTTTTTGGACCATTTTGACTTAAGAGCTTGGGGTTCGTAAGTCGTAATGTGTCTTGACATAATGTTTTTTTAGTCGACAGTTAAATTGAGTAGTTTGGGTTTCCACGCAGTTAACTTTTGTCGTGCTGATTAGCATAACCAGGTTATAAGCTTCAGGGTGGGGACTCTATTTTTCACAGTGACTTGACTCTAATTTCCCAGATGGGGTAAAAAGAGCCCGTAAAGGTGTTTTTTGTTTTTTCCCTTGGCCCTCAAAAAAAAAAAAAAAAAAAAAAATTCCAGACAGTCATTTAATTTCCTGTCCAATTGAAAATCCCTTTTGAGGGACCCAATAGCATTTCTTTTATCAAGAAGTCTGATGCTGGCTCCAAAATAAATGTAGACGACAAGGGATGTTGTCACTGGACTGAATTACTTGGTAAGAATAAATGCATTTTTCTGAGGAAACAAAGTTGTCCTTTTTCTGAGGTGAATGGCTCTTAACGGCCCATTGTAAGTTTGTAAAATGCTCCTAAACTGTAGACATCTGAGTGAAGAGAGATAGGTAGCTTAGTCCCAAGGGGTAAGAATATATTCAGACCCACTTGTTCGGTCTAGTTGTAAGCTTTTGTAGGGAAGGGTTTGCGCCTTTGTAGAAACACTATGGTAAATTGATTCATTAATTGTTCTTTCCTATGGCCTGAGTCTGCCAGAATATAGCAGTTGAATACTTGGAAAATTGAAATATTTATAGATTGGTTAGAATTTGAGAGTAAATAGTTCATTGTTACTACTAATGGACTTGAAGTTTGATATCATTTTATTTAGCAAGCAGATTTGATGAGCTACCCGCCGGATCCCCAGAATTGTTGTAGCATATGATAGATAACATGATGCTTAGGTTCGAGGCTTACTGGTAGTCACAGATCAGATTTTTCAGTATTTTTATTAGAGCCATATAGATTACTCCATACCAGAGAACAAGGAGAATACATAGGATCCTGTATTATGGATTCCTGCTTTATGAAACTTTACACTGGGTCTTTGTTGATTATTTATTGGGAAGTAGATTGTTCTGATTCTGGAGAGGCTTTGTATGTCTCAAGATAAAACTTGTCTTCTTTCTTGGAGGGGAAATGGTGGTGCTCTGAGGTGCAAAGAGGGATTTTTAGGTGTTCAGTATCTCTCATTTGAGAACTGCATGGCAGGTATTTTTCTACCCACAGTTGAGAGCTGGAGTTAAATATATTCCCTTTGTAACAATATATTCTTTATGTAGGTATGAGGATGAGAGCATGATCAAGACTGATTGGAATAGTGTTTAGCAGTATTGACTTTGAGGACTTTTTTTTTTTTAACTTCCAAACTCCCCTGTCCTCCCTGTGACCCATCATAGTCTTGTGTCCAATCTGCTAATGAGTTTTTGGGTGATGAATGTGAATAGTTGTGGATACTGTTTAATTTTAAATCTCAAAACATCCTTATGCTGGTAACCTTTGGGGGTACTGGCTGTTAAAGTCTGAATATTTGACCATTAAGCTGCTTTTCAACTTAAGATTCTGTTTTGGAAATTAACATTAAAATTGCTTTTTAAAAATTTTCTGTTTTCTGATGTCTGTGCCAAGGGTGTTGGGTAGTCTAGTAGGAAAATCCAGAGTGGAAATGAGGTACTTCTCCTTAAAGGCTAGGGGCAATAAAGGAATGGGGGAAAAGGGAAAGTTATCCTATTATTTAAATGCTAGTCAGAGAAAAATGGGTCTTTGAGCAGTCTCCCTTTTGTTAGGAATCACATTAAATCTAGGACATCTTTTCAAACTCAGAGGAGCCTTTTTCTTTAGAGGCTTATCAGAACATCCAGTATGTAAACAATGAACTATTCTGGGGGATGGGGAGTTACCAAGACTCCCCCCCGCCCCCCTTCCCATCTCACATGACTGGATGATGAGATATTTACATTATTTCCAGATAAAGTTCCAAGTGTGTAGTTAGATGGGTCATACAGTAATACAAATCTTATAAAGTTGTTAGCCTTGGTTATCTGTTGCGAGTGACCGAGACGAGTCTGGAGGGAGTAAAAGTTCCTAGATTTATGAACTTTGCCTTTTTTTAAAAGATGATGAGCTTGTATTTCATAATAAACCACAAGTATCATTCATTCACTACCTTCCCTGCTACTACTTAAATACTGGTTACCTCAGGGAATACATAATTGGACTGTACAGAAAAATAAAACCCAGAAAAATAAAATAAAACCTATTATTTCTCAACTCTAATTAGTTTGATTTGATACCATATTACCAAATTGTATTTGAAAATCTGTTAAGAGAAGTCCCTACATAATGTTTATAGATCCCTAATGGGTTTTGATTTTGGGGGGATCTTATGAATTGATAGCTTATTGATTGCCCTTGGAGTGTGTCCCACACTGTTAGAGTTATTCCAGGATGCTGAATAGTTCTAGGTATAGGCTATCATTTTTATTTTGGCTATTTCTCTATATGTAGCACTTATTTATTTGTGTATTTATTGATGAGTTTATATATATTTAAAGTGTGGATAGGGAAGCTAAAATTAACTTTTTTTTTTTAAGTTTTTGAATTTTTTTAATCTTTATTTATTTTTGAGAGAGACAGTGCAAGTGGGGGAGGAACAGAGAGAGGGAGACACAGAATCTGAAGTAGGCTTCAGGCTCTGAGCTGTCAGCACAGAGCCCAGTGCGGGGCTTGAACTCACAAACTGTGAGGTCATGACCTGAGCTGAAGTCGGACCCTTAACTGACTGAGCCACCCAGGTGCCCCTAAAATTAACTTTTTAAAAAAAATATTTTGAGAGAGAGCGTGGGAGAGAGGGACAGAGAGAGTGAGAGACCAATCCCAAGCAGGCTCCCAACGGAGCCCAACTTGTGGCTTGATTTCAACACCGGTAGGATCACGACCTGACCGGAGCCGTATCAAAAGTCCTGACGCTTCACCAGCTGAACCACCCAGGCACCTCATGGGAAGCTAAAATTCAAAGTGTGTTTCAGTGAGGGCCCATCTCTACTGATTTTGAATGGCATCTTTCCTTTCTCTTCTGTTGTGTTTGTCTTCAGCCACTATCTCCCTCTTCCCAACTGTTGATTATCCTAGTTAGAAGCTTTAGAAGCACTTTGGATCTTTCTCTTTCCCAAGATTTTCTTTTGGATTGCTATCCAGACAGCATTAAACCTTTAGGATAACATCTTCATAGTTTAGCCTTCCCATATATTCAAGTTTGTGTTCTCTTTTAAGTGTTTGACCTGGGTGTTTTCCTGTAGAATTAATACACATTTGTTCTAAGTGGAGCTCTTTTTATTTCCAGTCACACTGGCCTCTTTGCAATTCCTGAGTTTTTGCCTCAGGGTTTTTACACTTGCTGATATCTCTGTCTGCAATATTCTGTGCCCCCCCCCATGTATGTACATGGCTTGTTGACTTACCAGGTTTGTGTCTTTGTTCCACTGATAATTCCCAGTGTGTTCTGCCTTCCATCACTGCCTCTTCCTTACCCTTCTTTATTTTCTTCATAGCATTTATTGCTACTTTACATTATTCTGTATTAGAATGTAAATGTTAGTTCTCTGAGGGCAGGAACTTTCTCATTCACTCCCATATTTTAGTGCCCAGGATGGTGTTTGGTACAGTCTGTTGAATAAGGAGGTAACTTAGTGTACAATTGATTTTTATCTTAGCTCTTTGGTAAGTCATTAATAGTGGTGTATTTGTTAATGTCTAGATAAGATTGTTGTTGCAGGTAATTCTACATGTTTTGATTTTAAGAAATCTTTGCAGGCATGGTGAGAAATGTCCTGACATCTCATAGTCTATTTCTTGATATTCTTTACAAATGTATAGTACATCTCAGGTGTATGCTCGGATTTACATCTGGACAATCGGGTACCTTAGGACACTGGGTATTGAAACATTTGAGACATTACCAGTCACTGGTGTAGGTGACTTTGTTAGAAATAGCACCCCCCCAACCCCCCAAAAAAAACCTAAAACAAACACAAATTTATAAAAAATTTTTTTTTTCAACATTTATTTATTTTTGGGACAGAGAGAGACAGAGCATGAACGGGGGAGGGGCAGAGAGAGAGGGAGACACAGAATCGGAAACAGGCTCCAGGCTCTGAGCCATCAGCCCAGAGCCTGACGCGGGGCTCGAACTCACGGACCGCAAGATCGTGACCTGGCTGAAGCCGGACGCTTAACCGACTGCGCCACCCAGGCGCCCCTAAAACAAACACAAATTTAAATTCAGGTAGATGTAAAAGATGAGATCAGCCTTGGTAAGGAGACTTTCAGGAGCAAGGCCAACTGGGCTTTTCCTACTACTATGGATATCATTAACTGGCCTTATGTAATTCCTGAACCTGCCCTTTTACAAAGTTCTATGGAAATGAGTTAACTTAACCCCCCCCCCTTTTTTGTAAATTTAAGTTCAAGTTAGTTAACATAATTTTATAACACCTTTCAAGATACTGATCTTGATAATCTTTTTTAGACAGATCCCGTTCCTAATGGTTTGCGAGCTTTGCCAGTTTTCTATGCCTGCACAGTTGGAATAAACCTCTTTTCCATCATGTATACTGGAGCACCTTGTAAGTACATATCAAAATATTTAAATGTGAATTTAACGTTGTTTATAAGACTTGCATTAAATGCCCAATTTACCCCTTTTTGCTTTACAGGGCTGAAATCTCCTAGAAGGTGGCTGGCCTGCGCCCATTTCAGAAGGCTGCAGGCTAGTGTATGCTGAGTTAACCTAGATAGTTTTTCAACCAAAGAGACCTGCTCAGATTCTAAATCACTACAGACCTTTACTCTTTATAGTCTTCACAGGATCCACCGATAATATGATCTTCTCCCTCCCTTTCTCCTTTCTGTGCTAAAAATAACTGGAATTGATACTGACCTCAACTGCTGAAGAGTAATTAGTTATATTTGGTCTTCAATAATCAGTCATTTAGGACTGGCTTGCTGGATATTCTCTTTTTTCTCTCCCAAATGGAGCTACTTTTGTTTCTAAGCACTAAATTTACTTCCCTGAATCTGCTTGAATGAGAAGAGTTGGGATGTTTAAACACCTGATCTAAGTGCACTTGGAAGAAGAAATTCATGCAGCTAAGAGGAAAAATAATTTGTGAGGATATAAAGATTCAGATGATTACTTTTATTTTGGGACTAAGGCAAAGCATGGATAAAAATATGATCCATGTTCAATTTAGCAACTGAAAAAGATTACTAACTTGTAACTTGACAGACCTGCTTATTATCAGTTCAGGTTCGCTCTCTAGGGTCTTTTGACTTGATGGTCAGGCGAGTGGCTTTTGATCTTTTGACTGTGACCCACTGGAAAAAATACACTGTACGTTGCTGCCCAAGACATATGTGCACGTAGAGACAGAGAGGGAAAGAAAACTAGAATAGTATTTAGAAGCTACTTACCCTTACTATGTGCTGTGTCCTCATGTTTTCAGATACTTCTCTTTAGCTTTTTTTTAATGCTCATTGGAGCCCACTAAATTGGTTTCTGATAATGGATTGTAAATTGGTTCTTAAACTTCACTGAAGTAGTAAGTCACTGGCCAAAAATGGAATTAGCTAAGTATTTTTAACCTTGTCTTTATTCTTGGAATAATTAGGGAAGAAAATGGACAACTTTATGAGAATATTGATCTTACTTAGGGGATACCAGACTCCTCACCAAATGGTACAGGCAAAGAAAAGCTTGCATGCTACATTTCCAATTATGTTTTAAATTGAGTTCTTCATGCTAAACTAAAGTCTCCTGTGACACTCTAAGCACAGATGTTTTATCTGGTAGCAGCAAAGGTCATAGTTCAGTGAAATTAGAAACTTAAACTTGCAATCATTTTTGAAAAAGGAACTTGGGATATTTTTGTTCTGTTCTTTGTGGATCATTTACAAGAAAAATTTCCCTTTCTCATTTCCCCTTTTGGCTTGGAACATAGATTTAAACTGTGATAGAGATTAATTAAGCTTCATGTATATTTTAGTTTGTGTGACTACATGGTCAGAATTGATAGGAATTAAAATGGAAAGATTTGTAGTCACTATAGAACTTTAGTTTTGAAGGGACCACGGTTACATCTGATTTTTAAATATTAATCATTGGGGGGCAATAGATTTTCCATTTTATAAGTAATCTATTCCTATCAGAATAAAGCAAAAGAACTGCAGGTAGCCAAGCTATTTGTGGATGAACCACAGATCATTATAACATCTTACAGGCTTAAATAGAATTCTGTAGTGCTTTACTTCTGTCCTTAGTATAAGCTAGTGGCTTGAAGCCTATTGGCATTTAAGGGGTAAGCACATGAGGACTGATATTAATGATCCCAAAGCCATGTGAAAAGTAGGCATGTCTCTAAGATATGCCTTGTTAATGAAATTACCACTAAACTGTTTTTGTGAAAGATGGTCCTTTGAACTATCCTTATCTTTTGATAGATAATATTCCGGTTTTTTATATCTTAGTTTGATAATGTATCCTAAGAGATAATCTTGTTAAAGGTTTTTGCTGGAGGTTAGTACAATGGATTCGATTAACTTCCACAGAAAATTTTATCAGTATGACAAATGTGATTCTTAGGGTCCCTTTTTTAACATTAAAATCTGTATGTGCAAACATAATGTATGGCAGCTACCATGTGGAGGCTAGGGAGTGGAATGCTTCCTTTTTTTCATAGCTAGTTGCAGATCCTCAGAGTATAGTAATCCTTATCTTCTAAACAAAGAAAGGGAAAAAAAGCTAGTTTTTGAAGGAACTTGGGGGACTTGAATCCAGCAGGTGTGGAGAGTGGGCCAGAGGTGGAGGTGTGGGTTTCAGATGACCATTGGATTTTTCTCCTGAATTTGTATAGTCAGTACAATAAACCTTGTGGACCTAAGGCTGGCAGCAGTTGTAAAGGGTGATGGGCTGGCTTGGGGGGAACCCCAGAGTCCCCCCGAGGAGGGTGTACACGTTGTTGCAGGGGGCTGTCGCCCTGGGGTTTTCAAGATGCACCATTTTATCTCCTAGTGCTGGGCTTTGACAAACTTCCTCTGTGGGGCACCATCCTCATCTCGGTGGGATGTGCAGTTTTCTGTGCCCTTATCGTCTGGTTCTTTGTATGTCCCAGGATGAAGAGAAAAATTGAACGTAAGTAACAAATTGTAGCAGATCATTTTAACTAGCAATGTGTCTGTTAACTTCTTGTGTACAAAAACTCACTATTTGGGTAGATTGGTGAAGTCACACATTTAAATGAGATTTCAGAATATGGGTTTATTGTTCTAAACTAGGTTTTTAAATTTTTATTTATTAATTTTTTTTTGAGAGAGAGAGACTAGGTTTTTAAATTTTTTTTATTTTGAGAGAGAGAGCGCGTGTAAGTGGGCGAAGGGAAGCAGGGAGAGAGAATCCCAAGCAGTCTGACACTGGGCTTGATGCACGGCTTGAACTCACAAACTGCAAGATCATGACTTGAGTGGAAGTTGGACGCTTAATTGGCTTAGCCACTCAGGTGCCCCTGCCCAAACTGTTTTTATTGACTTGAAATGACCTGAGACCTAGTTATAAGAGATTTTTGACATATGCTAGGGGCAAACTGGGCCTTTAATGTAATTTTTTTTTTTTTTTTTTTTTTTTTTACCGTACATCAGTTGCTGGTGACAGAAATATATAGAGATGTAGCTTACATTAATTGGGAAGTGTGAGGATATCTTAATATAAAATAAGGAGTAGATACAAAATATTTTCAAGAAACATTTATCTGAACTACTTCTGTGTGTAATTTCAGATTTGGGCCTGTAAAGCTAAGTCACATATTTATATCTGACTTTAGATTTGGTTAATTCTCAGAATTATAGCACAGATTCTAGCGGTAGACATTTTCCAGTGTTAATGTGAAGGAATCATTTAGATCATTACTATCACACGGTAGTAGAGTATAATTAAATACAATAAATTTTGGTTAGCATCAGTCTTATTTAAACCTTGTATTCATTTCCTTACAGGCTGAGAGCTTTTAAAGTAATCTTCTCAGCCCTTTCTATCTGCAAATGCTTGGTTAGTGATTTCAAGTTTGTTGTTTGGAAGTGGACGGATGCACAGACTGCAGAGGCCTTAGGAAGAGTGCTGCGTCATGCAGCTGCACTGAGACGCCTCTGAGAGGCTTTGGTCTTTGCTAGTCTGGTTGTGCTGAGCGCACAGTGGGAACGAGGCTTGCACCACTTTCTGACCTCGTTTTCCCCCCAGTCTAGGAGAAGATGATACAAGTCTTGATAATGTTTTAGGTCCTAGTCTGTAGCCTAGTTGTGATGCCTGAATGAACATGTAAACATACTGAGCATCGGTAGGATGGGCAGAAAATAAATATTCCTGTGTAGTCATGGCATTTAGAACCATAAGGTAGAACCATAAGGCACATCTCTGTTTCAGGAGGTGGGAATTCAGGTTGTCATCTTTAGTTGCCTGCATTGAGCTCTGTTGCTTTACTTGAACTCCTGGACTGAAATTTGGGGGCATTCCTTTTTTAAAAAGAACATAAACTAGATGCAGTCTAAACTTTCAGTCTGTCAGCCTCATGCTTTGAGGTATCTTTCACCTCAGAATGGGTCAGCAGGGAACTAAGAATGGTTTTTACCCTTGTAAAACAACAATCTTTGTCTTGTGAAGGACAGGAATACACAACAAAGCCCACAAAGCCTAAAAAAATATTTTACGGTCTGGCCCTTTACTGAAAAAGCGTGTGACCCCTGAAGCATTGCTATATCTTTGCAAAGGAAAGATAGGAGATATGGCAAATGAAGTAGACAGGAATATTATCCAGAATTTTCACTGAAATATATTTTTGAGATGGATTTTTTTGAGGTGGGGGAAAGGGGAGATGGGGAACAAGTTAGTTTGGTCAAAACCAAACAAAAATCCCCCGTTTTTTCTAGGAGAAATAAAGTCCAGTCCCTCTGAAAGCCCCTTAATGGAAAAAAAGAATAGCTTGAAAGAAGACCATGAAGAAACAAAGTTGTCTGTCAGTGATATTGAAACCAGGAGTCCCGTTTCTGAGGTAGGATCTGCCACTGTGCCCCTCCGGGCTGTGGTGGAGGAGAGAACAGTCTCATTCAAACTTGGAGACTTGGAGGAAGCTCCAGAGCGAGAGAGGCTTCCCAGTGTGGACCTGAAAGAGGAAACCAGCATAGACAGCGCCATGAATGGTGAGTGGTTTCTTAGTGGGGAAAATAAGAGTTTTACTTTGTTACCTGTACTGGTGAGGGGGCTCACTGTTTGGACCTGATGGTCTTTGTGTTTAATGTGACTGTTTTGGTCTTGGCCAGGAGCAGTTCAGTTGCCTAATGGGAACCTTGTTCAGTTCAATCAAGCCGTCAGTAACCAGATGAACTCCAGTGGCCACTATCAGTATCATACCGTGCATAAAGATTCTGGCTTATACAAAGAGCTGCTGCATAAATTACATCTCGCCAAGGTGGGAGACTGCATGGGAGACTCTGGCGACAAACCCTTGAGGCGCAATAATAGCTATACTTCCTACACCATGGCAATTTGTGGCATGCCTCTGGATTCATTCCGGGCCAAAGAAGGTGAACAGAAAGGTGAAGAAATGGAGAAGCTGACATGGCCTAACGCGGAGAGCAAGAAGCGAATTCGAATGGATAGTTACACCAGTTACTGCAATGCTGTGTCTGATATTCACTCGGCATCTGAGATGGACATGAGTGTCAAGGCAGAGATGGGTCTGGGTGACAGAAAAGGAAGTAGCAGCTCTCTAGAAGAATGGTATGACCAGGATAAACCGGAGGTATCTCTCCTCTTCCAGTTCCTGCAGATCCTCACAGCCTGCTTTGGGTCATTTGCCCATGGTGGAAATGATGTCAGGTCAGTTGACTTGGAATCTCAGCCTCACGCTTTCTTTTCTTTTTTTTTTCTTTTTTTTTCTTCTTTTTTTTTTTAAGTTTATTTAAAAAATTTTTTTTTACATTTATTTATTTTTGAGAGACAGAGACAGAGCATGAGCAGGGGGAGGGGCAGAGAGAGAGGGAGACACAGAATCAGAAGCAGGTTCCAGGCTCCGAGCTGTCAGCACAGAGCCCGACGCAGGGCTCGAACTCACAAACCATGAGATCATGACCTGAGCTGAAGTCGGACGCTCAACCGACTGAGCCACCCAGGCACCCCTATTTATTTATTTTGGAAGCGAGTACAAGCAGGGGAGGGCCCGGGAGAGGGAGAATCCCATGCAGGCTTCTCCTGGCCAGTGTACAGAGCCTGACATGGGACTCGAACTCAGGAACCATAAGATCATGACCTGAGCCAAAGCAAGAGTCAGACACTTAAGGGTGCCTAGGTGGCTGAGTTGGTTAAGCATCTGACTTTGGCTCAGGTCATGATCTCATAGTTTGTGAGTTTCAGCCCCACATTGGGCTCTGTGCTCACGGCTCAGAGCCTGGAGCCTGCTTCAGATTCTGGGTCTCTCTCTCTGCCCCTCCCTGCTTGAGCTCTGTCTTTCAAAAATAAAAATGTTTAAAAATTTTTAATTAAAAAAGAGTTGAACACTTAACCTACTGAGCCACCCAAGTGCCCCCCACCACACTTTCTATTTTTATATCATGTTATCCCTTTTATAAGGCTCTGCTTGTGGTTGTGCTGCTCATACCACCCCGTGGGACACTAAATAGTCTAGAAAGGATGAGGTCAGAGGAGTTATTGACTTATTAAACAGGCAGTACAATTTTTTTCTTTAGAGAGATTACAAAGAATGGTCTTGTCTATTGAGATAGGATCCAGTTCTTTGATAGTAAATTCTCTGAGTGTAAGATGAAAAACTTAATCACTGTTGTGATAACTTAGTTGTTAGCCTTAGTCTTGTGGTTTGTAAACTAGCCATTGGAACCTACGTTTTTTTTAGGCTACCTATTGGAAGATAGGCCACCAAATGCATGGGATTCTTCTGAGAGCAGCTTTTATTTTCTTCTGCTGTGTATATTGGGGTTTCATTTATTTCTTTTGGATGAGCTTGCCAGCTTTGCTTTGAATAATCTAGTAGGTCATTTAGCAAACTGGATCTTGCGAAATTCTAGTTCTGCCTGAAAAAATCATCTTCATCCTCTTTTTTTCTTTCAGCAATGCCATCGGTCCTCTGGTTGCTTTATATCTGGTTTATGACACAGGAGATGTTTCTTCAAAAGTGGCAACACCGATATGGCTTCTGCTCTATGGTGGAGTTGGTATTTGTATTGGTCTGTGGGTTTGGGGAAGGAGAGTTATCCAGACCATGGGGAAAGATCTGACACCGATCACACCTTCTAGGTAAGTTGGCAAAGCAGGTCTTAGAAAGATGAATGCTCATTTTCTTAAGGTTCATAGTACTGTGTAGTGTTACCACACAACTCTTCATCTAAAGTAACCCAAGCTTATATAAGTTCCTGATGTTATTCTTCATTGTGTGAACTTTTAGGTTTTACATACTGTCTGGCCCTTAAACATAATTTTGGTCAAATATTCATTTCCAGTGGTTTCTTAACAGTACAGCTTTTCTGAGAAAGGTGTGTGTGGAGTGAATAGCTATGTATACTTTGTCTTTACTTGGGAGCTGAGACTGATTATTAAATTCTTCAAAATAAAAGTGCAAACTTTAATAATGAGCTTCCAGAAAACCATAAAACCTCAAAACATTAGAGAAGAGGGAAGAGAACCTGATATATTTATTTAAATTTTTTTTTTAATGTTTATTTATTTTTGAGACACAGAGCATGAACAGGGGAGGGTCAGAGAGAGGGAGACACAGAATCCGAAGCAGGCTCCAGGCTCTGAGCTGTCAGCACAGAGCCCGATGCGGGGTTCGAAATCACGGACTGTGAGATCATGACCGGAGCCGAAGTTGGATGCTTAATCAACTGAGCCACCCAGGCGCCTAAACCTGATTTATTAACTTTTTTTAGTGTTTTATTTGAGTGTGAGAGTGTGAACGGGGGAGGAACAGAGAAAGGGGGAACAAAAGATCCAAAGTGGGCTCTGTGCTGGCACAGCACGCCTGATGTGGGTCTTGAAGTCACAAACTGTGAGATCACAACCTGAGCCGATGTCAGACACTCAACCAACTGAGCCACCCAGGTGCCCCGAGAGCCTGATTTAAAGTATATTTCAGGTGGGGCGCCTGGGTGGCGCAGTCGGTTGAGCGTCCGACTTTAGCCAGGCCACGATCTCGCGGTCCGTGAGTTCGAGCCCCGCGTCAGGCTCTGGGCTGATGGCTCAGAGCCTGGAGCCTGTTTCCGATTCTGTGTCTCCCTCTCTCTCTGCCCCTCCCCCGTTCATGCTCTGTCTCTCTCTGTCCCCCAAAAAATAAATAAACGTTGAAAAAAAGATTAAAAAAAAAAAGTATATTTCAGGAGCTATAGCGAATTAAAGATTGTTAGTGAAGGTTTTGTCACCGAGTATCAGAGCACAGTAAGATTGTGTTAACTTTGAGATAATGTTAGCTTATTAAAATATCAATTTCTATTCTTGACAACTAATCTTTCTATGTTTACAGTGGCTTCAGTATTGAACTGGCATCTGCCCTCACTGTAGTAATTGCATCAAATATTGGTCTTCCCATCAGTACAACGCATTGTAAAGTAAGTAAACATATTGTGTCTGTTGAATGGCTCTAATAATATGGAGAGAGTTTTTAAGTGTGAAACTGTGGTTTAGAAAGTTTTATACAGTTGGAGTCTTGAAGAGTTCACAAGTTTAGGACGAGACTGTAAGAATGTAAAGGCTTATTACATTTTACAATTTTTGGGTCTAGTATGCTTATTTAAGCAAATGATGTAGGCTTTCCCCAAATGATGCAAAAGCCCTTTTTGTATTGGTTAGCAAGTCTTTGAGGCTTATTGGACATTGCAGGGCAGTTTATTTATGGAAAGAATATATTCAGAGACTCTCCGAATTGAAGTATGAAGAAATTTGTTGAATTCAGACTTTGCGTGATCACCATGCATTAACTGTGGGAAGAGGAAGAAACTGGCTTCCTTAAGGCAATTTAAGTTGGTGGATCTTAAAAAGATGGAGTCTGTCAGTTATCCTTTTTTTTCCAGGATATCTCCAGGTCACTGGCTATGAAGTCTAATATCTGTCTCCCTCTGAAATGATATTTGGAAAACCTAAAACTTAAAATAACTTCTTATTAAAGTAGTTCAATATATTTTTTTAAGTTTATTTATTTGGGGGGTGGGGACAGAATCCCAAGCAGGCTCTGTGCTGCAACTCACAAACTGCAGGATCATGACCCGAGGCTGAGATTGAGTCGGATGCTTAACCAGCTGAGCCACCCAGGCACCCCAAGTGGTTCAATATTATTAAAGTAGTTCATTAAAGTAGTTGATTAAATTCCAGTAGCTCAGAAGAGAAAAAGGAAGTGTTCTCCTATTTTACCCCAATTAGCACAGACTTGATTGGATTTTTATATTGTTTTTATCTTCTTATTAGTAATCTTCTTAATACAAACCATCTTTGATGGAATCAGTCTCATCCAGCAGTCTGGGGCTCCTTATCTACATAAATAAGGTCATGTGTCTGTTACCAAAATACCATTGGCCTTTACTAATCAGTTTCCTTGATCCCTTTCTCTGCTAGGTGGGTTCTGTTGTATCTGTTGGCTGGCTCCGATCCAAAAAGGCTGTTGATTGGCGACTCTTCCGCAACATTTTTATGGCCTGGTTTGTTACAGTCCCCATTTCTGGCGTTATCAGTGCTGCTATTATGGCAGTCTTCAAATATGTCATCCTCTGAGCGTGAAGCTGTTTGAGATTAAAATTCCTGTCAATGTTTGGGGCCACCTTACACATTCCTGCTCCTTTGAAGAATGATCACAGTGTTACAGAAGACCGACAAGAGTCTTTTTAAAGTTTGGGAGCTGTGGGAGGGAAGTGTTACTTGTGCTATAATTGCTTTTGTGCTAAATATGACTTGTCTCAAAATTAGCTATGTAAAATAGCCAGGTTTCCACTGGTTCCTATTAAGGTCCCTTTTCCTTCTGGGCTGTGAATTCCTGTACATAATTCTCTACTTTTTGTATCAGGCTTCAATTCCATTATGTTTTAATGTTGTCTCTGAAGATAACTTGTGATTTTTTTTTTTTTTTTTTTTTTTTTTTTTTTTTTTTTTTTTTTTTTTTTTAAACCATTCAGAGCCATTTGACACAGTGTGCTCTGCTTTGGTGGTTTCACCAGCTTCTGCCCTAACATGCACAGGGACTTAACAACAGAAACATAACTGAAGCTTCCCTTGTAGTCTCTTAGAGAAATAGAGCCATTTGTACTCTGCCCTCCTGTCCGGTAGTGGCAGGTTCCATTGGCATATGTGGGAACTTCTTATAGGGACGAGGTTCTTTGGACACGGTGAAGATTTAAGTTAGTAGTAACTTCTTTGCAAGCAATTCATTGACTATTATTGCTAAAAAGAAGTAGGAAGAAAAAGCCTTCTGGCAATTGTGGTTATTTAAGATTTCTGGCAGTGTGGGATGGATGAATGAAGTGGAATATGAACTTTGGGCAAGTAAAATGGGACAGCCTTCCATGTTCATCTGTCTACCTCTTAACTGAATAAAAAAGCCTACAGTTTTTAGAAAATTTTGTTCTCATGGTTTTTGTTCATATTTGAAGCATCTGGGCTCCAAATCAGTTAGCCCTATGCCATTCTTAGCAGAGTGTGGATATCTTAAATGAGAACTACCGACCAACTTAAACTTCCCCACTCCTCCCTGTTAAGTTTCTTGGGATCCCAGAATATACATGACATAACTCCATAGGCACTGTTTAACTATTTGACATTTTTCCTTTTTTTTCCTCCTTTTTTTTTTTAAAGGTTATTTATTTGTTTGGGGGGGGGGGCGTTTGCAAGCGCATGTGGGGGGAGGGGCAGAAAGAATCCTAAGCAGGCTCTGGGCTGTCAGCACACAGCCTGACACGAGGCTCAGACTCCTAAACTGAGATCATGACCTGAGCCAAAATCAAGAGTGGGTCACTTAACCTACTGAGCCACCCAGGTGCCCCATTTTTCCTTTCAATAGCACAACCTAGACACTTTGATGTTAACATGTATAAATCTACTCATTGTTTTCCTGTTTGGATGGACTATTTCACCAAATATTTATTCCTAGCTTTTCTATTATGAAGGATGCTAAGACAGATGGGGGGTGTGGTGTGTAGCTCAGCTTATTTAAAAATTCTCTCTGTTCTTGAGTCTTGACCCTTTCTTTTACCCTTGGTCAGAACAGTTAGTGAAAAGTGCATTGCTTTGCAAACTAGGTAGATAGTTACTGTCCTGAGAGTTAAGTTTTAGGAGGATGCTTTTGAGAAGCTACACTGTACCAGATGAAGTTATGCCTGCTTGACCTATGCCTGAAAGAGATTAGATCACTGGTTGGATACATGCCATAGAATGGCTCAGTCAGTGTTCACCATTTAAGGTCGGGAACTGTGCTCAGCTTTTTATATACATTTAATCCTCAAGATTCTTCAAACAGGTCTTAATATTCTTTCACAGATGATAGAATCTGTTCGGGGAACCGTATCTTTCCCAATATTACATGTTAGTAGAGAGTGAACATCAGTTTAGCCTTTGGGACTGGCTGAAAGTAGTCTTGAAACTTTTTGTTTGAGGAAGGAGGGAGGAGGCTATGTATGGTAAAGGGGAACCTAGCATTAATCTCTGAACTGAAGGTTTTGGAGGAGACCCTCTTGTGTTTTGGTACTGGCTTCCTCTCCTAGTGCTATATGACCTTACACAAGCCCAGATCCTATCTTCCCTGTGATAAAATGGAGAATAGTAACCTTCCTCAGCATTTCCCCTTGGCTCAGGAGAGAACAGCGGAAAAAATACTTGAATCAAAAATGTGCTTCTCTAGGAAGAGCAGCCAGGTCTGGGGAAGAGGAACCCCAAAAGCTAGGAAGAAACCAGAGGGAGTTTGTATTTCCATGTATAGTGATGTCTGATATGGGCCAGGGATATGTGGTTGACAGAACCTTGGCCTGTGTTTTCTTGAGAATAGATGTTGGCTTTTTTTTTTTTAAGAGAGACCTAGTGGGGAAGGAGCAGAGGGGAAGAGAGATTCTCAAGCAGGCTGCATGCCCGTGACCTGAGCTGAAATGAAGAGTCAGAATGCCTAACTGACTGAGCTGTCCAGTCACCTGATGTTCCCTTTTTTTTTTTTTTAAAGTTAGTTTATTTTCAAAGGGAGCAGGAGGAGCAAAGAGAAAGGGAGAGAATCCCAAGCAGGCTTCTCCACAGCACAGAGCGTGGGGCTCGAATTCATGAACTGCAAGATCATGACCTGAGCCAAAACCAAGAGTTGGATGCTTAACCTGACTGAGCCACCCAGGTGCCCCCAATGTTGCCTTTTTTTTTTTTTTTTTTAATGTTTATTTTTGAGAGGGGGACAGAGGATCCCAAGTGGGCTTTGCGCAGAGAGCCCGATGTGGGCCTGGAGCTCAACCATGAGATCACGACCTGAGCTGAAGTCGGACGCTTAACTGACTGAACCACCCAGGTGCTCCATTGCCTTTTTTGAAAAAAAGAAAAGTTTTTAGGGGCGCCTGGCTGGCTCAGTAGAGCATGCAACTTTTTAAAAAAAATTTTTTTAACGTTTTATTTATTTTTGAGACAGAGAGAGACAGAGCATGAACAGGGGAGGGTCAGCGAGAGGGAGACACAGAATCTGAAACAGGCTCCAGGCTCTGAGCTGTCAGCACAGAGCCCAACGCGGGGCTTGAACTCACGGACCTCGAGATCACGACCTGAGCCGAAGTCGGCCGCTTAACCGACTGAGCCACCCAGGCACCCCGAGCATACAACTCTTGATCTCGGTGTTGTAAGTTTGAGCCCCACACTGCATGTAGAGATTACTTAAAAAAATAAAATCTTAAAAGATTTTTAATTTTTTTCCAACTTTAATTGTTTTTCAATTTTATTTATTTTTGAGAGTAAGAGACCAGAGTGAGTGGGAAAGGGACAGAGGGAGAGGGAGACACAGAATCCAAAGCAGGCTCCAGGCTCTGAGCTGTCAGCACGGAGCCTGATGGGGGCTCGAACCCACAAGCTGTGAGATCATGACCTGAGCTGAAGTCGGACTCTTAACTGACTGAGCGACCCAGGTGCCCCGAAATCTTAAAGTTTTTAAAATCAAGGCTGTATGTGTGCGTATTGAGTCCCGTGATTCAGCAAGGCTAGTAACAGAAATGGGATTCCAACCACCATCTCTCCCTTTCCTCATGCTACTCCACTTTGTTCTTTTGTTGGAGTATTTGTGTGTAGCTGAATAATATACATTTGTGTAACCACTTGGCCCTTCCAGCTTTCAGTTTTTGACTTCCCATAGTGGAAAATGATTTGTAGTTCTACTTGTCTTCAACTTTTACCATACACAGACCTTAACCTCCCACCTTAACTGTATAATTGGGTCTTAATTTTGGTAAGAATAATATTCAGAGTATTTAAAAGTCGAGTCTTATAGTACAAGTTTTTGTTTTTCTGTGGAGTGGTCTTTTCTAGGTTCTTGTCACTAATCCATTTAGTACTACTTGTCTGATTTCCTCCTAGGACTTACTGGAAGCGCTGGGAATGTTACTAATTTATTAGGGAAGCCTCTCTCAAAGCTTATCTGCTCCAATCTAGACAAGTTTCATATCTGCATCCTAAAATTTCCCTCTTCGTTCTGGGAGCTTTACTGCCGTTGTTAGGTTTACTATTTTCTGTAGTCCTGTGTTCGTTTTTCATGCTTTATGCGCTTGTTC